TCTTTGGAATGCAGCTTTTCCTAATATATACTTCTCGTATATTTTCGGGAAGACGGAAGTATCAATCTCTCATGACTTTATACGATTTAGGATTTCAGCAGGTATTGTTCAACATCTTCTGCTGGTTACGAAATATATTCTGTATGAAATTCAAAGACATCATGAAGACTATTCAATAGATTGTATAACATCCAAGCCTCAGTCCTCACATCTCCTTAAACGACCGAGATGACCATGCAAAAATAACTTCAGCAATTATTTTGTGACACAGTGTCATCGCTTTGTTGTGCGTTAGTTGCTGTATGCTCATGCCTACCGATAGCATGCCAGTGAGGATTAGGTTGGTGAAAGTCGTCCATTTACTAGGCATGTGGAGGGCAAGTACACCCTGTCTCCGGGTGGAGGACTAGAAAGTCTTCTTCTTGACTCGGCCGACCCCCTTCCCCTAACCCCCCTCTGATCGGCCTACCTCGGATGCACCCACTCTATTATTGCTCATGTAATTATGACGACTTATCGACTGGACAACGGTTGCGTGAGGCTGTACCCGCCAAGAAAACATTGCATTCCATTATAGGCAGTTGGTTTGTTGGAAAAAAGCGTATAAAGATGCACACTGACGGTATGGAAACAGCATGTCGTACTGCAATGCAAGTCGAAGGTCGCCATCCGCGTGGTCATGGTATTCCCTTCCGTGCAAGACGGTGTAATCAAGCCGAGGTTATGCGTACCCAAATGCCCAAGAGGCTGGGTCACGTCTCGTGTCCCCGACCGGTCTGACAATAGCCTCGAGATCTGATACACGTGCCTGTCTGCCCGAGGGGGTGGCGGACAAGGGACTCCGCAGGCCCATGGCCGAGGGAAAAAAGGCCTGTCTCCGGAACGACTGGATGCTTTGGACAAACAAGATCAGCCCATACGACATGGGGAGGATGGAGGTGGTGATCGCGACCAGAGGAGACCAAGGGAGTTGGGAGAAAATGGGCGAAATGGCCTGAGCATGAGTCCACCCCTGCCGAGGCCGGACACTTAAGGCAGACAACTTCGAGGCTAAAGAGGGCTTTTCTCGCCTGTCTTGGCTGGCATCTCATCGGCGTCAATAGGGACTCAGGAACGGTCTCGTTCAAGACGAACAAGTCGGACGTTGGAAGACGTCGCCCCTCGCCTCTGATCGTAGCCATGCCAGACATAAACTCCGTTTGACCCGTGCCAATGAGACCGATCCATTTGTGAAGATGAGAATGAACGTTAATTTACGCTCTCCTCCTCACCCCTTCACCGGACCAATTGATACGCTAATGCAAGCCTTTCGGGGGTTCGAATGCAAAAGGGGCTCGTTAACATCATTGCCTTGCCATTAGGGTCCCCTTTTATACCCCCCGCCACCACCTACCGATTCTTCACATTGGTGTTATTACGAGAAAACAACCGTAAAGAGATGTGTGCTTGTATGTGTGTATATGTGTTTGGAGATGAAGTTGAAATTGTATTACTTTACTCATCTTTTATAGTTCCCTACGGGCGGAATGAGAGGGCACAAATTAGGGCAATGGCAGGCCTACCGGGACGCTGATCGCCTATTTACGAGTCTTGTGTTTGGAGACACTTCAAGTGGGGTAGCACTTCCGGACGACGGAGTGGTAAGCGAATCTGCCTTCGTGAAAGATTGAAGAGGCTCAGTAAGCTTCCGATATCGGATCTTTTCGATTTTTTATTGTTTCGACGTCCCGGGTTGAGAGACGCCCGAACACGAAATAACTCCGGCTCCAACGAGTCTTGCTTGAGCAAAACCACGAATTAGTGAGCTCACTTCCAGTTCGAGCGAAGTGTATGCCATAAAGAGATCTTTCGTCAACATCTATCGCTTGTCCTTTCTTAAACACTTTTGATAACGCTGTGCCATGGGTAATTCTTCTCGATTTACGTGAAAACGTGTTGAGATTTCGAGCCACATAGGATGGACATCATTCAGGAGAGCATTTGAAGGATTTCGTCAAGTCTATAAACCAGGTTGTTGAAAGAGTCAATTTCCCAGTAGAAGTAAAGGAGGAGAAAGAGGGCTTAACTATTCCGGATGTTCAAGCCATTTGTTCCAATAGGTCACTTAAGAGAAAATGTTTCATAAAAAAGTCAAATGCCGGAATAATATTCATTTTTGAGTCTCCTCATTACTAAAGACTGAAGATTGGAATATTGAGGAGCGTGATCATCAGAAGAGTACGATTAACAGATGTGGAATTCTGGAACGAAGAATTGGACAAATTGACTCGGATATCCCTCGGAAGCAGACGACCGAGAGAAACAATACAAAGAAATATACGAGTCGTGATCAGCTGATGGCCAGACAGTGATTTTCAGAGAAAAGTAAGCAAAATGAAAGTTTCAAAAAATGGATATGTCTATATTCTTGAGAACGAATTAAACATATGGGTAATATTAATTAACTGGAATATTTGGGTGAGTCCGAAAGAAGAAATACCAGTCTTTATAAGTAAAAGTATATTGGAGAAACAGCAATAAAAATCAGCATCAAATAAAGTCAAAGACTTCGCAAATAAATGCATAAAGAGAAATCATTGAACAGACTAGCAGCGAGATGAATTTGGAGGCAGCAAGCAGAAGCGCCACATGCTGTGAAAGCACAAGGAGACGCAAGATTCGAGAGCCGATTGACCTGCTTGCGGACAGAGATTTAATGAACATGAGATTGGAAGAAGGCAGAGTTGGCGATAATTT